TTTGGCTTATATTATTTATACGTATTGATTAAAAGAAGTCTCTTAAATCCTACTTTATTCTTTAAAAAAAGTTTTATATTTTGCATTTGCAGATTAAGTAAAAAAAAATTTAGAAACAATTTTGGCCTAAATTATAAAATTGGGAAAGAAAATTTTTTTTTTGATTGATTAAAAATAATATTAATTTTATAAAAATTTATAGACATGAGCCGCTAAAAAATTTTTTAAACATAAATTGTATTTAAGAACACTTTTAAATTGTGGTATATATATCTAATTTATTATCTATATACTGCATTTTATTTGTGATATAAATAAAAAGTATTTTATAATACTTAGAGATCGCTTTTAAAATTCAGCATTATAACTGTGTTTTTCAAAGTAAAAAGGTAGCTAAATGAATCGACAAAAATTAAATTAATTGTAAAACAGATATTGAATAGAAATAGATATCATTGACTTTGATCAGTCTATAGACCTTGCTCTTCTTTCACGCTAAAGTTGTTTGTAACATTAACCCTGGAGCCATATTATATTTCCTTAAAAAAATAAGCAGAGAAAGGTAAGATTGAAGTCTAAAATTTATTTCGAATTTCTTGTAATTATATACAATTGTCTAATTTGTGCCTTTTAATTCGGAGAACTCCCTAATTTGGCAAAAATTTTGAGTCCAATCAAATTCCTAGTAACTACTATTAGAAAATGCCTTGATAAATTGGAACTATCTACTTTAAAAAGTGGGCAGATTTTTCACTTTTTGTTTATTTACATATCATATTCAAAAAAAATATGTGCTAATAATATATTATTATAAATTAGTTATATATATTTATAGTTATTTTGTATATAACCACTTTATAAATTCTTATTTTATATAAGATTATGTACACACACATACATAATTTTACTGATCTTGATGCATTAAAAAAAATTACTTGAAAATTGCTGAACATAATCTCACTCCCAAATTAGATAGGTTTGGTATAGTATAATTAATTAAAATTTAATTCATAGTATAGAAAATGCATTTTAATAATTAGACATATCTAGGGGCTTAACCAGCCCTTATTTTAGCCAGAAAAATATTGCCTAAACCTCGAGATTTCGCTAATGGATTTCTCCATACCTTTGTGTCATCTATGACCAAAATCTTCAGGTTCGCGTAATCTTTTTCTGGATAAAGTATTGAGTCAGCCGATTTTAAAAATCGGCTCAAATCGAGCCGTTTAACAATCTCTATCCTTTCTCAAATATTGGCTCATACATTCTTCAAATTTTTTCCCAGAAAAATATATAGATTTTGAAATCGATCTTACTATGGAACTAAGTGTATAATTATAAACCTATCATTTGCTAAGAAAAATATATTTAAAATTATATTAGGCAAACAAAAATTTAGCATAATAAAGGACACTCCTCTAATTTGAACCATTATTTAAATTGGGGTGGTGATGATAAATTGATTGTTGTACAATTTTATTTATTATGAGAAATGATTTGGCATGAATACAATAATGGATAACCCATTAGCTCCTCTAAAAATTTATTCATTATAACTTCAACCAAATTTTTTTTTGAAAAATTTTATTTAAATAATAATTTTTCTCCTCACCCTATATTCCATTCATTTTTATTTATTAAAATTTACTGAACCTTACTTTAAAACAGGGAAAAATTATATTCACTTTATTTAGTAATTTATTTATGATTTCTCAAAAATAAAAATTTTATTCCCTAAAAACAATGCATTAAATTTATTTCCGCTTTTATGCTTAATGAGATTGTATATTATTAAAAAAAACAAATTATAAAGTGATTTTTAAAAAATTTATTATAATAAGCAATTGCGCGGAATAGAAACCGATTTGGAAGAAATATATTAATTTTTTTATAAATTAAAGGTAAAACTAATTGCTCTGAAATTTAGTAAATATTTTGTTTCTTCCACACCCCTGCTATTTAAAATTTTTTATATGATTCGATTTCAATAAAAATTAAGTCAATTTAAAAGATGTGTTTTTTTATACCACTAAAAAAAATGAGGGGGGTAGGGAGGGTTCTAGTTCTAGAAAAATGGCTGCCTTGCAATGCTTAACCAATATAGCTTTAGTGATAGCTTTAAAATTTTTTAATATTTTGAGCGCTACTTTGTTATTGATTAAAACTAGCAAATGGCGTTCTACATTTTTACACAAAGTAATTCATCGAAAATTATATCATTTCAATTTTTGCTAAATATGTTGTATCCTAAATTTGTATTTTTAAATTATAAACATCATGAAACCAATATTAATAACAAAAATTTTAAACATTGTCAATATCTCAAATAAAAAAATAATTTTAATACAATTAAATTAAATTGTCATTACCTTCAAAGATTGATGTTGACTAAGGAAAATGCCAGGGTTCAACATTTGCTAAAAATTCAAAAATTTTCAAAGATTCTTGCTCTTTTGAAGATCAAAAAATATGAAGATCTTTGTGTAAAAAAAATTTTGAGCATGCTTAAAGAAAATTTTTTAAAAAAAATTTCCCAGTTGTTCTTAATAAAATAGCATAAATATATATAAAATATGAGAAGTGAAAAAATATATATTTGAAAAATCACTTATTTCTTTTTGGGGATTTTTTTGGGTATTGTTTTTTTATTATATTCTTAATCGCGAAATTTATATTAGCTGAAATTATTGTATGGCATATAATATAAAATAAAAAAAACTGTCTTGCGTCTCATTCTATTTTATTAAGTAAATTATGATATTTTATTTTAAAAAACATCTGAGAGATTTTTTTTTATAAACCCTGGAAAATACTAGAATTTAAAATACACATAAATAATTGTTGTATTTGTATTTATCTGAATTAATATTTGCATTTTAGGCTGTGTCCAAAATCTAAAAAATAGAAATAAATAATTTTTGAAGAAAAAATTAATATAAGCTATTTTTAGTGTAAAAATAAAATAGTGTTCTAAATCATTTTTCTCCATTTACAAAAATTTATATTTTAATAAAATAATTGAAATTAAATAAATTTGAAAAAAATTTATTCAAAATTAATTTTTATGAAAAGTCTAGTAAGTAATATTAAAGTATGTTATTTTTCATTCTCGTTTTTTTTTGCAAAAAAAAAATAATGAAGATTTTGAACATTTTTATAATTTAATTAATTTGTAAAAATTTATAAATTTTAGGTTTTTTCAAAACATTTTGGACATTCCCTTACTAAAAAAATAAAACTATCTTGTATTTATATTATAAAATTATAAATATAATATCCAGAGGAAAAAATATTAAAATATCTGTTTCACCCTATTTTCTAAAATACGACGTTCGTACTGATAACTGAAATCGAACTAAAAGAAATGGTTTCAGTTCCAATTTTTTTTAACTAAGATATTATGAGGTTTATAAGATGGTGGCAGAGTATCTGGAAGAGCCTCCACATCTTCTAAATGTTGTTTGAATGATGATTATAAGTGATAATTATATGTGATATACTGAAATGATTATATAGATGCAATAAATAAAATAACTGCAAATATTTAGATCAGATATGATATTATCAGGTACATAATTATTTAATTTTTAGAGATGGTGAATAAAAGTATCATCATGAGTTTAGAAAAAGGTAGTGGTGAATCTATTTCCAAAAACAAACATTTTAAAATATTTGTATTTAAATACATTTTCCGAATTTTATTTTATAAATATTTAGTTTTCAACAAATAACTTTTTTTGAATTGCATTCGTTATTTCGAATGCAATTTTTTATGAAAATATGCCCAACCCTAAATGCTGAGGGATTATTTGGTAAGACTAAACATAAAATAAGGGGTCAAATTATCAATTTTATAAAGAATAGGTTTAAAAAAAATAGCAATTAATGCACAACTTTTTTTTTAAAAGAAAGTAAAACCATTAGATTAGTGAACACTTCGGCCCGAACATGCCCGTAAAAATTTTTATACTGAGCAGTCAAAAAATATTTTACATAATTTACCCGACCAGATGGAAATTTTTTTTAGCTCTGCTGTTCATAATTAACTTTTGTGGATAAAAAATATTTAATCAAGGTATTTTAAAAAAAATCTGGGAAATATTTTGCACAACTTATTCTGCTTAACAAATATTGTCCGTACATGAATCTATGAGGACCATCTTTAAAAAGAATGACAACCTATTTAGAATTAACTTTTAACAGAGCTGGGTTGGGGTTAAGATTAAATCTAGGCTCTAGGGTTAATTTAGGACCTGAATTCAACCCTAACTGTTAAACCAGTATTATACGTTATTATTTATTGAACCTAAACAAAACCTGAACCTTTAGAATATTTGGCATTTTAACCTCAACCGAACCTCAAAAGGTTGTTAACTGGTTTAAATTTTTTGATATTCTAAATCTTTTAAAGATGAATAATAATCATGTTCTGACTGATAAGTATGAGTATTTATTTTTAAATTTATAGCTATCTAAGTCAAGGGATAGAAGTGTTCTCAGCCATAAAATTTATTACTTTTTCTTATAGATAAAATTTGTCGAAAGATAATTTTGAAAATTTAATTGTTTAAGCTCAAATTTTATTTTTTAGAGAATCGAGATAAATTTAAAAAAATGTGCATTCCATTACATAATTCTATTATGTTTGTGTGTAAAAAGGTTTGAGCCGGTTTTTAAAAGTTCAAGCTGAGCCGATATTATTATTATTTGCGAACCGAACCTAAACCATAAACTGGTATATTAATCTGAATCTGAACCGAACCGATATTTATTACAGTTTGAATTCCTGATTAATTAAGATTCTTATCGTATTTTATTATTATTATCGATATTCTTTTTTTTGAAATAAATTCTTTTTCATGATGCGTCATATTTATTTTGTATTGATGACACCCATTTCAGAAAAATAACCATACTTTTTATAAAAATCCTAAAAATTTAATATTAATAATTTAGGTGTAAGAAGCTAAAAAATCTATAAATTTGGAATTTTTATTTTTTTTATATATGGCATATATAAAAAATATATAAATCATAATATTTTTTTTTTAAAATATATTTAAATGGGAAAAATTATTCAGAAAATGCAAATGTTAATTATTCTTCACTTGTGCTTCTTTGGATATTGGAGCTTAGTTACGGGTAAATATAATACACTATTAATGCATTAAACGTTATCATAAAATATATAGTGCAGTCTGAGAATTATACTATTCTATCTTACCATTTTAAGCACATAGTATATAATTCAATCTTAAGGATAGAAAATATATGCAAATCCTCAGCTGATGATATGGCATATTTTTTATACATAATACTATATATTAGTGCTAGAACTTATCCGGAGTTATCATCATTTAGTAAAATATTATTTTAAGATTAAAACTAATAGTGCTTTGCATAAATCAAATGTTTAAGGCCTGGGAACATAGGCGTATCCAGAATTTTGCCAGCGGGAGGGGCACTATTAAGCCGGGGTTTCGCCATATATTTAAGATTTTTAGGTCCACTTAATGTTGGCTGGCTTTATTAGATTAATATAAAAATGATTTTGGGTTTTCACTTTTTTATAAGCATTTTTTGTGGTAGAGGTGGGGACTTGTAGTGGGAAATTGTTTATTAGCTTAACATGATATTTACGAATGGTTGACGTGCCTATCTTGGAGAGAAAATTATATGTATAAATAAAACCTACCTGTTTTAACTAATTCAGGACAATAAAATATTTTATTATTAGATTGTCTAATAAAAAACCAATTAAAAGAATTCCGGAAGAATTATTTTAAGAAAAATATGGTAGTAATATAATATAAATTATATTATGATCTTTTCAAATACATGGTGTTCTAAGTGGGTTAAAAGATTAATGAATATTTGATTATGATGATATTTTTCGTTGATCAAACTTAAATTTTTTGACTTTATCTCTTACAAATGATTTTTTTTAAAATGCTAGTTCGCAACTTTTGTGTAAGCTATGTAAATACCCAAGGCGCGGAGACCGAATTTTAGGCCTGCCCGGATTAGAAAAATTTTTTATCTCCAAGCCCTGCATAGATATTTTTTCTTTTGGATTTTTTCCAGGGCCTGGATCTTTATTGAATAATTTACCTTAGTCTAAAATATTTAGAATTTCCTTCTTTTAGATAATTTTGGTTGTATTTTGTAAATTGTTTCAATGGGAAATTTAAAATAGCAGTGAATAAATATTAAATGTTTTTACAACATTCTCCCGCTGATTATTAATTTAACGTAATTATTTTTTTTAATAGTCTGGCTCGGATCCATTTTTAATAAAATTTTACTGTCAGAATTTGGTCCAGGCTTGCATATCTCTGTAATATGGGGCTATTCGGCGCATTTTTTGTCAAAATATCATAGGTCCGAAAATAATTGTTGTATTTGAATTTAAGAAATACCATGAGATAACCCAAACATCTACCTAATCTTATACAATGATAAATTTTTCAAATATTTTACACCTTTTTTCAAGGCTGATTCTAGTAAGAGTGAATTTTTGCCCTAACAAGCACCAAACCCGAGGCTTGTAGAATCAATCATTTTATTAATTCTACCATAGGATAAATTATATTATTATTCCATTATTTTTACGGGCAATGTTTTATTGATATTATTATACCATTTACATAAAAATAATTCATATAAAAATGACAAAATAGTACATTATTTGAATTATAAAAAATAAAATTTTTAATAATTTTTTTATATTTTTTCCTAATTCTATTGCATTATCATATAGAATTGATTTAAAGATATAATAGTAGCCAATGAATACTTATTTTAATTACTGTATAAATAGATAATAATATATCATCTTTATAAGTATAATTTGATTGATCCGACTAGCCCTGATTCTCCTTAGCCCCTAGTTACTAATATAATTAATAACTTTTAAAAATATATTTAAACATGATATATGATTAAGAAACTTTCTGAGAAACGAGGGTTTTAAATTTTATACAATGTCAATTTTACTAGTGTTTTAATAGATTAGTATAAGTATAATCATGGTTTTATTATTTCATCATCATTATCTGATTCTGAAAATTCAAAATCAGATGAATTAATATTATCATGGCCCAAATGTGATAAATATTTACAGTAACACCCTATATTGTAGAACCAATTCAATACTTACCAAATGTAAAATGTGCCCAAAAAGTATTATATCAGTTTCAAAATCTTCAAATTTCAATTTAAAACGAAATTTGATTGTAATATTTATTTTATTTTATACAATATAACTAAGTAAAATCATTAAATATGAAGAAAAAATGCATTTGGGATATTTGACTTCAACAAAAAAGATAGTTATTTAAAAATTAAAAAAATTAGTGGCTAAAATATGCTTAACTAATGATAGACGCAGTCTTAAATGGGATCAATAAGTATTAAACCACTATAATTAATTACATATATTTTATTTTTTTAAAGGAACATATATTTGAAGATCAATATGTTCTTTCTATAATTATACATCCAATATTTATGCTTCAATGGCCATAGATAAAACTTCCACCTATAAAAAATAAACTTTTAGCTTTATTGAAAAAATGCATTGAAAACCCTAGAAATGCTAATGCAAGAACTTTTAATTTCGAGATATCCTTTTTTTGACGAGTAAGTAAAGGATAGATTGGAGGAGGATAACTTATTTCAATTTTTTGACGCAAGGACAAAACAATAAATGTTTTTAATAAATTCCCCAGTTGTTTATTAAGTATAATACTGCAATTCCCTCATCCCCCCCTGTAGAGCGCGTTTTTAGTATCGCTAGTGCCGTAATAAATCCAAGTGTTTCAGATGAAAATATAAAAACAATTGTTATTAAAATTTAATTTTTTTTTTTTTATAAATAATTCTTTTTAATATTATTTTATATATGTAAATTAGAAATAATAAGCATATATAAAAATAGACGAAAAGAAAATAATAATACATATTTCAAAAAAAAATATAATATATATTATATTATAGTTGCGATGCAAAATATATATAAAATTAACAATGACTATATTTGATAAACTAGGAGGGAAATGGGAGTGTTTCGAAGAAACATTTGTAGTTCCCCTTTAGGATTTCAAATTGGACTTTTTGTTTAAGAGATAGGGACTCGTTTTTGACCCCTGTCCTTAACGAAATTCTTCTACCCAATTGATTTAAGAACTTTAGGGATTGGGGACCGGGGTTTCCAAGGACGCTAAAAATAAGGGGAATAAATAAAAAAGAGTTAGGGAGGAATCTATATTTATTAAACTTATTGGTTTCTTGTAGTTCCAAGGAGTCGGTATTTCCGTTAGCCGGAAAGGAGGTAACACAAGAGACGTCCCAGACAAGTCTTTTGCCGCCGTGCCAAGACGTTAAAGACATGCCGTCAGGGCGCTTACCGTCAGCATTTAGGAGACCCAATGGCTCCAAGCTATTGGGGAAACCGGCCGAAATCAAGGCTTTGCCGATTAACCTATTAAGGTTGTCGTGCCTCAGGAAACGGCCACTGACTTTGAGGCACGAGAAACAATGTCTAGAGAAAGGATCAACCTGTTTGTGACAGGCGGCACAGGTGTCCACAGAAGGGATAAGGCAACCAAGCCTATGGCCAATGGCAGTTTGAAACTCATCGTCTGTGAGTAACGTTTCCTTTTTACCACTCGGAATCGCGTCTAGCCATTCATGGCCGTTAGAGTTTTTTTTTGCGTTTCTGAGCAGTTGAAGGTTAGTTAGCTCAGGATACATACAAAGTTTTTCAAACGAGCATTGGAGCATAGGGACCAGGAAGCTCTTTAGATGGCAGGAAATTGGCTGCTCGGAGCCTTGGGTGATAAGAGTAAGCCACTCTTGTTTAGCTGAAGATAGAAGGGGATCGTCCAACTCGATAAGCGAGGAAATGGAATCGGCGAAGGATATTCGAGATGAAAGAAAACACGCAATTGCCATAAGGAAGGGGGGTAACAATCCCAGTCCACCCTGGTAAGCGGGCATAGAGGCGAGGGACCAATTGAAATCGGAAAAATTTAAGCCTAAAAGGGATTCGATAAAATGTTTAAATTTTAATTCGAAGACCTTAAGGAGAGTATTGTACTGGAAAACGGGGGAAGATTTAAATAAATGTAAGAATTTAGGTAGAAAAAGACATTTTTTGGTGAGAAAGAAGAACTGATGCTTGGGGAGATGAGGAAGATTCTTGAGTGAATTGGAAAGGGAATGGATCAAATCGTCAAAAGTTTTTTGACAAAAGGAGGTTGAAAAACCAATAGGGGAACCCAAAAGACAGAGTTCCTCGTGCGGAATGATTGTAAAATCTAAGGGAGGAATAAAATCCTTATTGTTGAGGGAGGAAATTTCACACTTTTTCCTATTTAGGGAAAGACCAATTTTCGAAGCTTCCATTTCAACGTACTCTATGGCCGACATAACATTGGATAAAGAACCGCCAAAAGAGCCATCGTCGAGATACCATAAATTAAGGTCTAATTGGAAATTAGTCTTTAAATTTTTGATCAAATCATGAATCCCTATAGTAAAGAGCAGGGGGCCTAGAGGATCACCTTGCTGTATCCCCTCTTCGGAGGATATGGAAAATTCCCCGAATTTGAGTAACGAAGGGAATCCATAACAGGAATTAAGGAAATTCCCATATTTTGGGAAATGGTGTAAAAAAGATGGTAAGAATGCCCTCCTATGGATGGTGTTGAAGGCATTTCTGAAGTCTAACTTGCAGAAAACCTTATCGGCCTCAGTATTTATAAAAATACGCGCAACATGTGAGGCCACTTCACACCCACCTCTCACTCCAAATCCTAACTGTGAAGGAAATAAGAAGGAACTAGCCTTAGGCCGAATCCTATTTACGATAGCCTTGGCGACTAAGCGACGAAAGAATGACCCTATGGCTATGGGTCTAACGCCGCCATCCGGTTTGGTCAGGGAGACAAGACGGGCGCCAAAAATAATAGGACGAATGCAAAGGGGAACTTCGCGTACGAGGATATTATTGCACAGTTCGGTTAATGCTTTCAACAAAGGGTCAATGAAGCCACTATCAGGGCATTGAATTAACTCCACAAAGAAACCAGGTCTGAAGCCGTCCAACCCCCCTGTCGTCCCTTTTTTAAAGGACTTTA